TGTGGGCTCCGTGGTAGGTCTGAAGAGGGTTCCAGTGGCCAGAGTCGGGAGTGGAGTCTGGCCGCATCGACTCGTCGTAGTACATATCTGTAGGTCAGGCTGACCGAATCGACTGGTCGGAAGTTTTATCTGTAGGTCAGGCTGACCAAATCGACTGGTTGGCGTTATACCAGATTGACTGAGTTGACCGGTCGGAAACTGACTGAATCGAGGAGGCAGGGCATGAGGTTGTTTTGCGTGGTGAGCAGATTGGCCAAAGCAAAGGGGCGGCGGGGGTGGCTGTTTTTCTAGGGTCTGGTTGAATCGACCAAGCGGCTGAGGGTCCGGCTTTTCCTGGATACCAAGAGCATAGGAGAAATTGAAATTTGAGGAAGGAGCCGGTCTCCGATTGCTGGGTTTTTTGATTGGCAAGTTCTGATTTTGTGATTCGACCTTGGGCCAATACTGTGAATAGTCGAAGGGCTTTGGTCTGCCGAGGGCCGGAGGGCCAGGCTCTTGGCTGTCTGCGACCGCTGAGGCTTGTGTTGACAACGGTTGAAATGCTGGAGCGACTTGAAATGCTGGAGGGACGTTGGACTGTGGAAATGCTGGAGGGATGTTGAACTGTGGAGATGCTGGATCCCCGACGTTGGACTGAGAGGTGTGATATCCATACGAAGGGGCAACACTGGGATACCTGTGGGTCGCTGTGAGTGAGTGAGGTGACTGCGCCAGATGAGAGGTGCTGGGGCAATGGGGTCGTGCAAGAGTCGGACAGAAGGGAATTGGGGCGGGGGTGAAACGCCATTCAGATGGGTGATCTTTGCCCTGATGGTAATCAATCCCTGCTGCGGCAAACGTTTGGCTTCCCCCTCCCATCTGAATGTACCTCCTGCGTCTGGGCTGTGGGTCTTGGTTGTGACTCTGAGCTGGCACATCTTGATTCGATCGCTCGCGATCCGGAGGCAGCTGCAAGAAGGGCGAGATCTTTGGGCGAGAATATGAATTGGCGTCCTGTCGTCCCTCTTCGGCGTAGCACAGGTCTTCATAAGCTGGCGAGGGCGAGCGCCGCGGTGGCCTACGGCCCGAACGGGTGTTATGACGACGGGTGTTAGTATCAGTGCCAGAGTCGATGTTGATGATGTGATTCTTCAAAAGTTTTTTACCCTGGAACAGCAATCAGAAAAAATCGAGCCGTACAATATTGGGCAAGGAAGAAAGACGACAACTTACAGTTACAAGTGCTGACTTGAGTGGCTGCGCAGACTTCACCGACTTGAATTTTTTGTAATTGTTTTTGGCTTGATCCCAGTACTTGTCTTTGGCCGGTGCCTTGTTCTTACCCTTACTTTTCCTTGAGGCTCTGTTGTCTGACTCGGAATCGGAATTGGAGTCGCCAGACTGTGAAGTAAGAGAACTGGATTCTGAAAGTGATGAATCCTCGCCAGATGTCGATTCGTCTTCAACGGGTAATTTTGAATGTCTCTTTGGCTGCAATTCTTCAAATGAAACGTGCCGCTTTTTGGACTTCCGTTGCGGTGATTGAGATTGCATGCGTTTTTTTTCGTTAGGTGCTCGGCTTTCAGGACGGGCATTTCTGGGAGATGGCGATGCAGAGGTTCTAGCATAGGCTCGTCCAGAGCTTCTAGGATAGGCTCGTTTCGGGGAGGGGGAGAGAGATGAAGATCTGCCCTTTGATCTTCTTGATGGGGATCGACCACGAGTATCAGCAGAGTGCCTGGAACTTTGTGCCTGTTTTCTGGACGGAGTCGCCGGAGATCGAGCGCGTGTTCTGGAAGGAGTCCTTGCCTGTGGTCGAGCTCGGGCTGTTTTGGAAGGAGTTTTCGCGGGTGATTGAGCTCTGGCGGATCGAGGAGCTCTTGCTGGTGCTCGATCAGCCGCAGCTCTGGCCTGTGATCGAGGGGCTCTTGCTGGCAATCTAGGTGCAGGTCTAGCCGGCGCTGGGGCTCGATCAGCCACAGCTCTGGCCGGTGATTGAGGAGCTCTTCTGGCCGGTAATCGAGGAGCTCTTGCCTGTGATCGAGCAGCAGGTCTGGCAGGTGATCGAGATCGACCACCAGTCCTAGCTCTGCCTGGTGATCGGGCCCCTCTTCTCGGCGGGGGAGAGGGAGTGATGACTGTTGTTGGCGGTATTGGTAGTTGGACTGGCTCAGGTGAGACCTCAGGAGAGGAAAGGGAGTCGTTGGAGTCGTCTTCAGTGGAGCCGTCGGAGGCGTCTTCAGTACGACGGCTTGCTGTTTGACTGTGAGGAGAGTTTTGGGCCGACTGTCGGAGTACTGAAGACGTGAGGCCGGCAAGAGTATCAGCGAGACTAAGATTGTAATAATACTAGCTATGCTACACTTACTAAGTCTGTCCAAGTATTCTTGGGCAAGGTCACGTAATGGATCAACCTTGATCTTTGAGGGAATTATGGCATGGCTATCGACTTTGTAAATGAAAGACGCGAGTTCGGCTTTGTGGTTTGCTGGGTTGTAAGGTTCAAAATCAATCGATGCCGCTTCATCTGGTGGAGGCCTGCCTGTGGGCATGGCGGGTAATGGATTTGAGCTGGTAATAGATGTGAAACTAGCGGGGGCGGGAGATGGCTGGGTATGGTGTCGAGCAAGTAGACAATGACTAGAGACGAGATGAGACCAGAGGCAGATAGATGGCTGGAGACCGAATACAAGAAGACAGCGGTATGCCTCTTGGCACATCGTATTGAATGATGCCCATTGGTATGTACCGTACGGGAACACCAACAGATTGATCGGGACAAGTCGAGGTCAAGCCATTGAATTCGCCCTCTTCTGACCTGTTTACGACTTCTTCCACCTCGGTACGACTTCTTCCACCTCGGCGACATCGATCGATCAGTCCTTTGTTGAACCGCCCTCTTCTGGCCTAGTTTACGACTTCTTCCACCTCGGTACGACTTCTTCCACCTCGGCGACATCGATCGATCAGTCCTTTGTTGAACCGCCCTCTTCTGGCCTAGTTTACGACTTCTTCCACCTCGGTACGACTTCTTCCACCTCGGCGACATCGATCGATCAGTCCTTTGTTGAACCGCCCTCTTCTGGCCTAGTTTACGACTTCTTCCACCTCGGTACGACTTCTTCCACCTCGGCGACATCGATCGATCAGTCCTTTCTTGTCGGATTTCTGAAAATTATAAGTGGTAGATGCTTGTGGTGGGTCAGCCAGCTCGAGCTGTAAGGGCAAAAAAATACATATGTAGATTTATACATACATATTTATGTACATGCATGCAATGTGTTCAAGCTTCATAACTTTCATGTGTACCTTTGATCCGGTCCACCTCAATCCCCCTCGATTGCCTAGCTTTGGTCTGATTCGTTCCTTCCCACAACCCATCCGAACGACATTCTCTGGTGTAGCTCTCTTAGTCGAGTAAGTACTATTCCGCTCTGCTGCTGGATTTTGGACAATAACGTGTGCCAAATAAATTTGTACAGGGTTTGCTCTTAGAGGTCCGATCTCTGCCTGACCGATCGTGCCGTCATACCACCAAGAGACCGATCGCGCCGTCATACCACAAAAGGACATGTGACCCTAACGCTTTCGACAATGAGGTACATAGAAAACTAAGGCTTTCAACCGATTTCCTCATTTCCTTTAATCCATCCTCCTGCCTGACCGATCGTGCCGTCATACCACAAAAGGTCACGAGATACAACTTCTAGACTAACACCTCCACCCAATTCCATTCGGTCACCGGCCTAACGTCCGTTCCCCATTGAAAGTCCAGTCAAGAAAAGCCATTCAAACGATGAACGAAGAAGGACCGCCGGGTTGGATTGAACGATCGCCTTTCAAAGATGTTGGCAACCAACCAATTCGCCTCATGGCCTCCAAGGGATTTGAATCGATTATTCTCGACCTCCAACGGACTACCCCTTTCAAATCTTCGTTCTCTTGGAAGGGTATGACTTTCAAATCTTTCGACTAGTGGCTTTTGGTATATATCTTCCTTCAGACACGCTATCCTCCTTCGACCAGTCCACTTCTCCCCATCGTTTCTCATCTGCATTGTTGATACGGATATTAACCAGCTTGAAGCTGTTTGTTTTCATTGCACTCTCCGTCTACCATTTATAAACGTCGACTCTTATCCCCAGCTTGACGCTGGTTCGATTGCACTTAATCATCCATTAATTCCGTCTACCACCGCCGATCCGTCAGCTTGAGGCTGTCTTCATTGCCCCCCATCATCCATTAATTCCGTCCACCATTCGATCCGTCTAATAATTCCGCCTAACATCCGATCCGTCCACTCCAAGAGTCCTACGCTCCACTGGGTGTTTTAATTTGTTAGTTTATCATAGTTGTTGTAGCCATGAAGCGCCCCGCAGAGGATCGTGTACCGTTGTGGGATGGTAAGTAACAGTCTACAGTATTCATCCCGATTGGGCTCCACTGATATCCAGTGTGTACAATACCTCAGATCCCAACCAGCTTACCATCCCTCGGCTTCGCCATACCTTGTCGGTGTATAAAATCTCCATCGATCAAGGTGAACCCCGGACCAAGTTATTTCAGCAGTACGTCCGCCTGGCGCGGATCCAGTCGCCTGACTCTGTGAAGTTTTGGATCGGGCAACACTCTTTAACTGGACCCCTGCCAGGTCAGTCGAATGAGCTACCTCATAGTCGAGGAGGGTTTCTGACAGCACATTTTCGTTTTCAGCTCCCGATGCACTTGTTGTTTCCCAGATTAAGATTTTCCTGGCTCTACACAAGATTGACTACCCAGCGCAGGCCAAGCGTGGCCACTTAGTCCACCTATACCAATCCATCACTCCAGCTGCCCCAACCCGAAGGTCTCTCATTCCTTCTTCTCCAGCCACAAGCGTCACAGTCTCAGTCGTCATCCCCCCTCATCCCGAACACAAGAAACGCAAAGCCAACTTGCGACAAAAATCCAAATCAAGTCCTCCCAAACCACTGCCCAAGTCAAATGCTCTGTGGCTCGTTCCAAGTCATATCGGCAAGCCGGGTATCGAAAAACTTCCCAGTCATGGCAGGAGCAAGCGGATCAAGTCAGCGGCCCGCAGTGAGACCTTTTTTGCGCCGTATAGCCGCCGGGAACATGCAGAAGACGAGCAGCCATCCAGTGCTAAGCCTCGAAAGGTCAGCTCGACTTCCAGGCGCTCTTCTACAACCGGAGCCGCCGACCCGAGGTCACTGTCGCATATGTCTGAATCATCCCAACATCACACTCTCCGTCGATCCCCACGACTACGGGCAGCCCACGAAGACAGTCAAATGCTCGCAGACCTTCCAAGTCATGAATTATCCCTGTCGTCAGTTGAACCGACTCAGAGCTCCCGAAATGAGGCACATGACAATGAATCTCGACAATACGGCTCTGATGATGATTCAGACATGTCAAATCGCCGAGGTGATGTTGTGGAAGCGTCCACGCGTGCAAGCTCGCCCACTCCATCCGTTAGCCTGGCTGACTCCCCCATCCACCCCGTGCCCTCTCGAGAATCTTCGCAAGACAGGCATTCTCCAACTGAAGAAGAAGCTTCCGAGTCTCCTTTCGAAGCGCCACTGACCCCTCAACAGCCAACTCAAGATGGTCCCGAATCTCCCTTTGAAGCGCCAGGCAGCCTCATCTCTCCCTTTGGACGGTCCTCCGTTGCCACTACAGCTGATGGTAGTCAATCAATACAATCCTCCCAACAGTCAACTCAAGAAGAAGGCCCTGAGTCTCCCTTCGAAGCAGCTTCAACCTCCAGATTTTTTGAAGAAGGTGCACAACCTCCGACGGCCGACTTATCCCCACGAGCCTCGGAAGAAGTCGAATCGTCCCGCGTCCAACGATCGTCATCTCCTGTGGGGCTGGGAAATGAGCCAGAAGACAGCGACTTCCGATCATCTGAATGGTCATCAAGGCTAGCAGACCAAGAATCTGAAGTCTCTACACGGCCCTTGGTGCAAGCTGGTGACTCCGAAGCATCATCGACATCGCCATCGGCCAATCATTCTTCAGAGTCAGAAGACCACGACTCAGAAGACCACGACTCCGAATCATCCCAGCAGTCTTCACGGCCCGAAGTGTCCAGGCGGCGTGTGACAGATGAAATGACAGCTAGCTCCAGGCCTCAGCCACTTTCCGGAGCAAGTAAGAAGCGCAAGTCTGAGGACCCCTCAGAGTGGCCGGGTATGTTTTATTTGTGTTTGCGGTGTCTCCACTCCCAGCATGATACTAATTGAATATTATATATTTTTAGATGCGTCAATTCTAACGCGAGTTCAACTCGAAGAATATCTAGCGGCGCATGATGTTCCGTACGATCGCTCGACTCGGCTTGCGCGAATCATTGGTAGCTACAACCTGCTTCGATCCAGTCTCCCTCATCTTGGGGATCTCCAGCCCTTCAAACGCCCAAGAGCTTCTCAGTCCAGTCCTCCTCCATCCTCCACTGGAATCAAACGCAGGCGAACTCGCGCCAGAGTTGAGGCAAGCAGTGACGACGATCAGGTTGGGTTTGTATACTCCAGGCCGGAGCGGCCTCGAAATGCCTCCATCCCTCCTCAGAGTCCATCTGACTCTGGGTCATCTGACTATCAGCCATCGGTTGCGCCCACTGAGACGTCGGTTGGTACACCTTCTCGGGCATCAAACAGCACACGCTCAACCATCAGAACCACCAGAAGCTTTCCCACGGAAAATCCCCGACAAAAGCGAGCCAAGAAGGGCAATAATCGACCCCAGACCTCCAAGAAAGCCGGAAAACGTCGAGCGCGAGCATCCCGGCCCAAGAGAACCCGCTGGCGCGTTAGCACTCATCATGAAGCCGACCTGGCTAGTGATACTGTGAACTTTGTTCCTGTTCTTCCCGAGACCTCAAAGAAAAGGAAGAATCGATCTTCGACTCCTGCCCGTGCGAAACGGGCGTGCCCTGGCCCTGATGATCTTCCTTCTTCCGAGTTCGCTACCCATCGTCAAGCCTCTGCCTCTCGTCGTCGCCAACCCGAAACCCGGCATAATACCTACACTCCTCATCCCTCCTTTCGTGATGATGGTCAGGTCGATTTGGAGGATGTGACACCGGGACACACTGAACAGTCAGAGCAGTCAGACCGGCTGGGTCGCCCAAGCAAGAGAACTCCCCCTGCCGAGTCCTCTTCACGTTCAGTTCACACTAAACGGACTCGACCCAATCCACCCGATTTCGATTGGTCTGACTTGGAGCTGCAACAGTCGAGGCCCCCCCTTCGTCCATCCACCTCCCGTAGAGAAGGAAGAGTACGCAGTGACAGCTATGCCCCTGCATCCTCATTTCATGATGACCCATTGGCCTCTTCCTTTCATGACGGCGGGCCCACTCAACCTCACCTTGACCATCCGCAAGAAACCCACCCACTTGCGACTCCCCGGAGCAAAAGACGACGACCGGATGATAGCTCTCCCAGCCCTCAACGTGCCAAACGGCGAGCGCCATCAGCTGCCTGCCTTATCCCGAGCTCTGCACACGTTCGCCGCCGAAGAGCAAGGGAGCAAAGAGTTCGACTCAACAGCCTCACAATCCCATCAATCCATGACGATTTTATAGTACCCAATCCTTCAGAGAGTGGGGTTGAGAGGTGGAGGAACTCGGTGCCTCCAGGATTGTCACCACCATCTCGTAGCCCATCCCCACCACCTTCGGCAAATCCTAATTTGAGAGGTTGCGCCCTGGGAGGATGTACCGGAATGTTGTCGGAATTGACCCAAGCTGCAGGGCGTCTAACCGATTCTATTGTCCATGCGACGAATCAAGCATCGCTTATGCAGAGTACTAGCCTTATGCCGATTACTGGTCAACCCCAGATCCCTGCAAGTCGCCCCTCAGGACCCCGAGACCTGTCTCTTCTGGTAAGGTGTACCTAAACAGCTACACAATGACATGATATCATTACTAATCAGAATTGACTGTTTACATGTAGGCTCGAGTGCGCCAACACATCAGGACCCTATTCGGCAAGACAATGGAATTGAATATCTTTCCACCCCCGGCCACTGCCGCCGAGAAGGCCCTGTGGAGGCGCGACCCGGAAAACGACTACCCGGAAGACGAGCCCATGTCCGCCTCAAGCGCATCGTCACATGACGATGCCGTTGATCCCTGCTTTCCATATGCCAATGGACCTGGTCATAGGCAAGCATCTGCGTCTACACTCAAGATCATGTGGCGTTCTATGCAACGATGTCGCGTAGTATCATTCCGGCCCGACTTCGTTCGAGCTGTCCGGGACACCGACAATCTATTCCTATGGGACCTTGCCCACAGCATTTTCATCAAGCTAGTCAGAGCCCAGGAGTACCCAGAAATTGATCTCGAGACTTGCTCCTCAGCAAAGATATATGATGCGATTCTCAATCATGCCAAGCAACTCAAGCGAACGTGAGTCTGAAATAGCGTACTTTTAACTCTTGTGAAGAATCAAGCTAACTTATACATTTAATTTACCTTGCAGGTACACCCAGGCAGGTTGGGACCCCCGACGGCAGGATGCGCAGGCCCAGAAGAAACGTCGTCAAATGTGCACCACTCGTGTAAGTACCACCGTAGTTCTTCAATCTCACTGAATATGATCCCACTTACCAACCATCCATCTATGCAGTTACGCGATGCTCGACTCAAATTTTGTACCACTCAATCATTCCTCATCCCCCTTATCCCGGTGATTGACGAGTGCACTAGTGACACCGAAAGTGACGCTGGGATCGAAGGGTCGGACATGGACACGGGTGAGAATGAGAGAATTGCGTTCGTAACAAAGTTGCCGTGGCGCCATCCTCGAATTGAAGAAGCCGTTCAATTAATCGACCAACTAATTGAGCGTAAGAGGAAATCGGGCAGTAGAGATTTCGGACGATCGTCGTCATACACCCGATTTCGGTACGGTAACCCCAGGATCAGTGATTGGCCCTGCCCTGCTCAACTCCCTGCCCATGCGTACTGCGAAGACTGGCTCAAGAATCAAAGAATCCCCGAGTTGACCAAGTTGCACATCCAGACAGGTCCATCATTAAAGGGTCTCGTGAAAGAATTAAAGAAGCTGATCTGACCCGATCCTTGTAAATGCCTGATTACTTTCTCTTTTTCACTATACATAATCTGTACATAGCTGTAATATAGCCACCTGTGCATAGTTGTAACATAGCCATGGCCACTAGTCTCCATTGTAAATAGCATTGTCGATGATCTCACTTAGTCTCTTGTGTATATAGCAATGGCCATTCATTCATTTCCCTCTAACTCATCTTCCCCAGCCAAAAGATCCAACTTGACTTGAAGGCCTTGTCTGGTCAGCTTGTGGCGGTGTATTCAACTTGGCTTGAAGTGCTAGTCTGGTCAGTTTGTGGCGGCGTGCAGCTTGGCCCTCATGCCCGCAAAAGATTCAACTTGGGCTTGTAAAAACTCGGCCAGGTTGGCTGGCCAACAGAACGAACTTGATTCATTCATTGATTCATTCATGATCACGCACAGAACTTGTAACATTCATCAGGCTTAGACAGCACGCTAGGAATGAGGAACTAAACAAAACAGGCACAGAGCATAAACTGGAAATTTATCACGCGTCGGGGAGGAACTAAACAAAACAGGCACAGAGCATAAACTGGAAATTCATCACGCCTCGGGTGGAGCTTAGGGGATGAGTCTGGCAACCAGTCCATCATCAAAAACGAGCCGCCGGATGAGTCTGGTAAATCAGAGTCCACCTATCATCATCTGGGCCTACAAAGAATCCCACGTTGGCTTTTCCAACGTTTTTCCAAACACAATCCACCAATCAGTCCCGTATCGCCAATTGTATTATTAACTATACGCCTCACCTCCGGTGTTATCTACATCGAATTGCATGCTTCGAAAAGCTATGTAATCCGGAAAGTAGTAGTATGTACTTTCATAACTGCCGCGCGACCATTGCTTGAGGAGGGCTTGAAGTACGAAGTTCCCAGGAACCACCCCATCTGGAGTCTCGGTGTATTCCATGTCGAGGGCGCCGCTAAAGCCGTAGATGGCTGAAAGCTTGTCGCTCACTTGGCTAAGCTGGTCCAACGTCAAGCGACCGCGAAATAACCCGGTGGTAATCAAGGTGCGGAGGATCTCGTCAACTGAAGCCTCGGTCAAGAGCCCCTCTGCCGGCGCGATGGCTTCTACTGGCGAGGGAAGATTCAACATCGGATATTGATGATATTACACGAGGAAAAATCATATTATTATAACACACCTCCCTGGCCAGCCGGTGTCGCATCGGGTGCTCGGGAAGCGCTCTCTTCGGCAGCGGTGCCTGGGATGCTGAAGAACGCTTGATGTTCAAACTTGGTGAAGAGATCGTCGGCTGCCACGGCGGTTTCTGCTGCGTTGTCGGCTGCCACGGCGGTTTCTGCGGCGGTTGGAAGATTAAAGTCAGGGCTGTTCAGAAGCTAGACAAAATTTTGATGGATGACAAACCTTGGCCAGCCCCTTGGTCGGCCTTGGGAGTCGATGCCACCGATGCCACATCGGGCTTGTGGGATTTGCTGTCTCTGATGGCTGGAAACTTGGCTTTGAGTTGCTCTACCTGCTCCAGCGTCAGAGACCCGCGATATCTCCCGGTGGTAATCAAGGTCTGGATGATCGCATCAAGCTCTGCTTCGGTTAAGAGCCCTTCTGCCATTGCTTCAAACTCTGCATCGGTGAAGAGCCCTGCGATGGTTTCTACTGGGGAGGGAAGATTAAGATTAAACGTGGAGGTCAAACGTGTGCATTTCAATTTACATGATGAAAAATGAGATTATGATAACACACCTCCCTGGCCAACCGGTGCCGCATCGGGTACTCCGGAAGCGCTCTCTTCGGCAGCAGCGCGTGGGGTACCGAAGAACGCTTGACGTTCAAACTTGGTAAAGAGGTCTTCAACTGCCGCGGCGGTTTCTATGGCTGGGGAAGATCAAACGTCAGCATCTTGCTGTATTGGAAGATAGATGGACGCGATTTCAGCGACAAACCTTGGTCAGCTGCCTTGGGAGCTAATGCCACATCGGGCTCGTCGGCCTTAGGAGCTGATGCTGCATCGGGCTCGTCAGCCTTGGGAGCTAATGCCACATCGGGCTCGTTGGATTTGCTGGGCGGGGCAGCAACCGTGACAGGAGCTAATGGCACATTACATTCACGATAAGCTGATAGTAATTTAACATCTACGTTGTACATAATCACTCTATGACATACCTTCCTCGGCAGATCCTGCGTCGGGCACTTGAGATTTTGCAGAAGCTGTGACAGTCACAGAAGCTAATGGCCGATCATGATGCATATATAAGGTAAGATATATAAGGTAAGATATCTACCTTTTCTACACTACATAAAATCACTAATAACATACCTTTCTCCACAGATTGTGCGTCGGGCACGTCGGATCTGTTGAGTTCGGCGGGATGCATGGTATAGCAGACAGCTAACGGGTGGGATTCTAGGATTTTAGGAATATAGGCTGATTGGTTGCAAATCGTAGACAGCTAGTAGAGGTGGAGATGGTAGCAGGTGGGGCGAGTTAAGCCGGTGGGGCGAGTTAAGTAGTAGGCTGATGAGAGGCAGAGGCAGGAGCCCGGTACCAAGATGATAACCAGAGATGTGTTATTGATACGACAAAGGACCGGTGTTGTTGATACGACAAAGGATCATAGCAGTCCACGGTGTATTTATTTGGATTTATTTCTGCAATCTTTCGAGATCTACATCCAATATAATATCCCCCAAGTCATGAAACCGGAAGACAAGTCTTATTCAACATCCGTACAAGGGAAATGCTCTGGGGAGGGAAGCCGTTCCAGTAGTCCCTCACAAGCAATGGCCGTACCAATCCAGTCCAGCCATGAGGTAACTGGGTCCGATTCCCTCGCCGCCGGTCGGTGCAGGCGAAATACCTTCCTAATGGAGCCTGGTGGAGCCTGCTGCTTGAATGTGGTCATCAAAGATGTGGTCATACAGAGTTGTGGGGTCATACATACAAAGTTGTCCGTCCGATCGGCCTTCCGTTACAAATAGATTCTGAGGAACTGCAGCTGCATCTTGTGCTGCATCCTGTGCTATTCCGTACAAGGGAAACCCACATCTGACCCATCTGGGGAGGGAAGCCGTTCCAGTAGGGAGGGAAGCCGTTCCAGCAGGGAGGGAAGCCGTTCCAGTAGTCCCTCACTGAGGTAACGGGGTCCGATTCCCTCGCCGCCGGTCGGTGCAGGCTAAATACCTTCCTAGTGGAGCCTGGTGGTGCCTGCTGCTTGAATTTGGTCATCAAAGATGTGGTCACACAGAGTTGTGGTCATACATACATACACAGTTGTGGTCATACATATTTACATACAAATTACATGTCCGTCCGATTGGCCTTCATCCTGTGATATGACGTATTTATGTAAGTCGTAAGGTTAGTGGTATCTCGGCTCGGCCGATCCCTTGGCTGGTTGGACCTATAACTTACATATGTACATATTTATATACAAAGTACTATCCCTCCCTATCCCTCCTCTCCAGACAGTCCACTCCAAAGCCCCCCGACCATATTTTGTTATCCGTCCACGCACCGGTGCGTCCACACCAACCCCTCGACCATCTCAACCATATCATCCGTTCACGCCACCCTCGACCCGGCGGGTCAACAATGTCTGACACCCGGCGAGACCCCGTCGTTTGCCATTGCCAAAGATGCAATCAACAGCGGTTCCGGCAAAAGGATGGCAATTGGGCACCCGGCGCCATCGTCTCCTCAGCCACTAAAATAAGCCATGCTGCAGCCGATACTCAAATGGCAGCAAGATTTGGAATATCTCGAGGTGCGTAGTCTATGGCTTAATAGAAAGTCCGTCTGGCTTCTATTCAACCTGATGATGTATAACGGCAGATTCCGACAACGATTCCAACGATGATTCCGACGATGATATGGATTCCGACAATGATATGAAGGATGTACGTCCTGACAGTGCCCAGAAATCCCACCGCTCCGAAAGTCCTTGTTCCAGTCCCATCCTATCGGATATTTATAATTGTGGTTCGTATTTTATGTGATTATGTACACATTCCTGGTATTCATGCTTATACTCGTTTTTTTACAGACCAATTCTACAATTTCACCCTCAAGGATGTCAATCCGGCTGTTCTGCACATCTCACTTTCGTCCGCGATGCTATCTGTTTTCGATCATGTATCCGTTGCCACCTCGTCGTGGCTTTTGAAATCTGGAAAAGACCTACTTACCCTCGCGGTCTCTGGCGGACTTGGCGATCGTCAAAATGATGAGGGCCTCAATGTGCTCCAACAAAACACTCTCAATTCTCTTCCTTCAGATATTCGGACTGTTCTGGCCCGGCTGGAGATTGAACCAACCCTAGTGACAGTCGTGTGCTGCCCATCCTGTTGG